TACCTTCCAATCATTACTAGAGACAAACTGCTGTTTTAGACAGAAACTGCCAGCGCCCATGGACACACATGTGCAGCAACAGGCTAAATGTACCCAAAGCACAAGTATGGCATGACTAACATTAAAAAAAAAAAAAAAAGTAAGCCATGGCAAACTAGTATTCTTCTCTTCACAGCTTTTCTAAGTAGCAAATGTTTTCATGAATCCTATACCCCCTACTGTCCATATGCATAAGATCCTTTACACAGTTCCAGTACAAGGGTGTAAATAAATCCTCTTCTTCTCCTGCAATGTGGGTTTCAAAAAAGCCTAGTATTTGATGGTTTCAATAGGCATTTAACTACCCTGCTAATTGTTGACAAGCAATTAAGTATGGGTGAATGATTGTTTTTATCTACTGTGTTGAGAACATTAGTTGGGTCTACTTTGACTCTCTACTTTACCTGTCTGTATTATTATTGTTATACAGTATTTATAAAGCGCCAATAGTTCGCTCAGCGCTGCACATTACAAAGGGGGACAGAACATGTGACAGAACAATAACAATACAATGCAAAACATGAGGGGATCGAGGGCCCTGCTCTTTCGAGCTTACAATCTAGTAGGTCTGTATCTAATTTTGGAAAAGAATAAAGCATTATTCTTAAGAAGAAAAAAAAAAAAAAGAAAAACTACCCTCCCACTTACCTTTTTATTAGGTAATTATTCTGTTTCTAAGCCTATTCTGCAGGACTGAGAATATGTAAGAATAAATTTAGACATATGGTTGGGGGGGGGGGGGGTTAATAAAACCATGGTTGAGTCACATTTTTAGCCCCCAACCACCCTCCATTAAGCTACGACAGTGGATGCACATTTTTACATGCCACAGTCACGGGGCCTCTCTTCACACTTACAACAGAAAACTATCCAACAAGCCTGCTATGTGACCTATTCAAATGACCCAATACCATGTACAATGCACACAGTTGTGGTGCATTTGTTCAGCAAAAAATTGGGTTAAAGCAGGTGGAGATGAGGTGTGACATCTCTTCCTCATACAGATCGCTCTTCGGAGGAACAGGGGTTAGACACACAACTAAATCTAGCCTAAAGTGGCAACAGACTCTGAAAGCTGCTAGAATAACAATTTTTTTCTTCCAATGTAAATAAATGTATCTATTAAGACAAACACCAGTTATTACACCAATACATACACCAGTTATTGCAACGCTACCTTACTACATAGAGTCTGTGTACAGCCAAGTACACAGGGGCCAAATATTGGCAATGTGTGTATGGTGGCCGGTCCGGCTTCTGTTGAAGGGGCATGACCGAAAAAGGTCTGCTAATCAGATTCCAATCAGTGCTCTCAGCCAATTGCTGAGAGTGCTGACTGGTGTGTTCTGGCGGGGGGAGCAGATCCCGTCAGAACACAATAGCACAGGGAGGGAGATTGCTGTACTAACACCACTTAGTACAGCAATTTGTCTGAATGAAACAACACTTAAAGTGTATATAAGGCTTAAATCTAGGTTCACACCTCTGCATTTTGTGTGGGCATGTTTGCATGGGCTTCTGTGCCTGTCGAAAATGTAGGGGAAAAGTCCCTGACCCTTTCCTCAACATTAATGCAAGATAAAGCTGCTATTACTGTTTGAGGGAAGTTTAAGTATAGCTAAAGGCAAAACTTTCTTTTTTTTAGTTTTGGATAGAGTGGAGATGGTCAGTTGTTATTGCTGTCTATGCCCATATTAGGGAGATTCACCATCTCTATTTGTCCTGTTTACAATTATCATTAAAAGTGAAAGTAGAAGAAACTCCCAAATTTTGGGTTGTACCCAGAAAAGTAATAGCGTTTTATTATTTACCAGTATCAGGCATGTAATAGGAAGTTGTATCCTAGCACAATAGGTGTTTAACTCATGTGGGTCAAAACCCAGAGTTTTAAATACACTCAGGAGGAACAGATGCAGCGTCCAGACCTGCTTCCTGCAGCCTGTCAAAGTCTATGACAGGCTGAAATACATTGCAGCTGAACATTGAACATTTAGGGCCCTATGATGTACACTATGGTCATTGACACACATTCTTTTTATTTTTTTTGCATATGCAGTTGAAATCGTTTAAAAACGCGTTTGACTGCATCTAGAGTAAGAGGGAGGTATGCAAAGCCTATGACTTCTGAGCTGTGCAGCTTGCAGAGCTAAAACCAAAAGGTCCTCGACCATGGATCCCTAAAGCTTTTAATCTAAGCATCCAAATAAGATTTTCAATGTACTGGGACCCAACAAGAGAATTACTACCAAAGATAGTAAGAGTATTTGTTAGCATCCAAACAGAGTTCTCAAAGTTTTCTCTTTTTTTTTTTTTTTTTTTTTTTTTTTTTTTTTTTTTTAAAAGTGAAATATTTACATATTAAGTAAAACAATAATTAGAATTCAAAACAGAAAAGATTAATGCTCATACATACACAAACTCGAATTAAAGTGAACCCCAGGCAGGTATAAAGACGCATATTAAAGCGGTAGTAAACATACTAGCACATTAAAAAGACTTGCCAGAGAACGAAGCCCTCCAGTGGCTCCATCTTCACCTGGTCTTCTTCAGGGTTCTGGCCGAAGCCACGATGACGTCACTCCCTTGCATGCGCAGAAGCTACAGCAGCAGCACACAGCTCTGAAGGAATGGCACAGGTATGCCGTTCCTTCAGAGTGCATGTGCCGGTGATATCATCGGCTGCCGCTCACTAGAATATTGCCTAAACGGTGCACGTTTAGGAAATGTTTTACCTACAGGTGAGTTTACTACCACTTCAATGTACCTAATGGATGTGTTTTTAATACACGCAGTGTTGAAAACTGAATTTGCCTTGGTATCAACTCTCTTGCAGTCCTACTGCAGAGCTCAAACGTTTTTAATATAATTCTGTCTGCCTTGCATATTTCCTAGTCCCCTATATGTATCTGGGCTATCAGTCATAATTAATGTCCTTCCCATTGATCCACTGATTTGGTGCTGTGGTAAACTAGGCTACAAAATCAGGTGGTAAACTATCACAAATATGTTGACAACTTAACAGTGTAAAAGACCCTGAGATGTCTCCCTTGTGCACCACTGAATCTAATACAGAGCAGATCGCACTGCATAATATTCTGTCCTGGCCATACTGGCTAGGTACACCAACATGGGGACCTGGAACTGACGTTTGAGGCATCATTTCTGGGTCAGCAACAAGAAGGGGAGGAGAGCGGACTTGTGTCCTTTCTGCTCCTTTGCCTCTATCTGGTGGTACCCGCTATGCCAGTCCCACAGATGAGCAGGCACAGCCTGGGACACATTGAGGGGGTACACATTACCATGGGTTTGTGGAAGTTATCGGGTTGTAACGCAGCCACCAGAATGCTACCATTGGCCAGGAAGCAGTCTACTTGTCAGATGTACACACACAATCCTGGTGGCTGCAGAACGGAGTGCGATTGTGATACGGTGCGGGGATATGCACAGGAATCGTTGTGAATCCCACACCACATCACTGTGAACCAGGGCTGAATCTAGCTAAAAATCACCATAGAAAACAAATTAAAGTGTCACTAAAACCACAACAGTAAAATCGGTCTGTATATGCAGTAAAGCATGCTTGTTATACTCACTGTGGAACTTTAGGGGTTAATACTCTTCACTGTGTAAAAAGGATGTTTGATCTTGTTTTCTCTGATCCTCCCCTTCTTCTACGTTCCCCATTTCATCTCCTGATAGAACAAAGCCTCGGGGACACTCTGCACAAGCTCAGTATGGTGCGTATTGTTTTTCTTTTTCTCTTAGGAGACTGCATGTGATCAGCACAGGGCCAATCAGCACTGTCCAGATAGAGGGTCAGCGGTTATGCAATCTCATAGGGCAGTCAGAGGAGAATAAAAACTCCTCCTAGAAGCTTTAACCAGTGCTGGACACTTATAGAAGTCACAAGACTGCTATATAGTGCTGATAAGAAAAGGTATTTAGCAGTTTATATTTACTACAATAATTGCATTTCCATTTTGTATGTAATGTGGGAGAACAATATAGTTAATGCAGGGTCCTGGGTTTAGTAACACTTTAAGATTTGTAAATGCAATCTCTGCTACAATATTGTTATTAAGATATTGGAGTCGATTTACTAAAACTGGTGCACACAGAATCTCTGATTCAGAATACTTTATTAATCTCAAAGGGAAATAATTAAGATACAGTTACACTCAACGAAGACAATACAAGATCACAATACGGAATGGAAACAAGACACAATGACACAATAAAATACCTACAGCAGCTGTTAGTACCAAATAAAATTAAAATATAACTACTCTAACAAACCATCCCTCCTTTTAAAATAGTACATAGAATAAATAACAGATTGAATAACAGAAAATCAAATTATCGAAATACAAATACTACACCACTTTCTCTACCATTACCCAAAATCAACCTAATACCAACATACTATAAAAACTACAACAAAATCCAGATCATAAACCAGATTAAATCCTCATATTCAGCATTCACAGAATTCTATAATTTGATGGGAACAGGCAAAAATGATTTTCTGTGTTGCTCTGTGGTACATCATGGTTGGAACAATCTGTCACTGATGGTACTCTGCAGACTGACCAACGTATCATGTGGAGTGGGTGGAAGGAGCTGTCCAAGACTGAACGTACACTGTGCATGATAGCCAATCAGCTTCTGACTTTAACTTGTTCAATAAGGCCCCTTTCACACATGTGGACCATTTGTATATTTTTCATCCATCCATTGATGGATGAAACAAAAATGGACTTAAAATTATACTAAACCTATGACCCTGCATTCACTCTCTCTGGTCTCCCACAGTACACACCTACATGGAAATTATTGTAGTAAATATAAACTGAAAAATGCCTTTTCTCATCAGCAGTTAGAAAAGTCTTGTGACGTTTATCAGTGTTCAGCAGAGCACTGGTTAAAGCTTGCAGGAGGAGTTTTCTCTTTCTGCTCTAGGAGGATTCAGAACCCCTGACCTCTGTCTGGACAGTGCTGATTGGCCTGTGCTGATCACATGAAGTCTTCCAAGAAAAACAAAAAAAACCTCTCTAGCAATACACACCAAACTGAGCATGTGCAGAGTGATTCCACAGGATATGTGTTATCAGGAGATAAGAGGGGGACACTGGAAGAAGGGGAGGATCAGAGAAGACAGGATCAAAAAGATTTTTTACACAATGCGAAGGATTAACCCCTTTGGTTCTACAGAGAGTATATCAAGCATGCTTTACTCAAGTATATCAAGCATGAGTATATCAAGCATGCTTTTAAGCATACAGACTGATCTTACTGTTGTGGGTTTAGTAACACTTTAAAAGCATCTCTATGGGAAAATGAATGATCATCCATTTACATTCGCATCCATCAACATCCGTTTTGAAACAGATCAAAGCCCTTGTTCTGTTAAAAAACAAAACAAAAAAAAAAAAGAACAGACGGAAAACGGATGTAAACGGACAAACAGTCCATTTTTGCAGTGGTTTTGGATGAAAAAAACTGATGTAATAACTAATGAAAGCTACTTTCACACTGCACCATTGCAAAATGCATTTATGCCGCATTACTATTGCACCTGTAAAAATAGGACATGTGATTCAAAAAAAGCACACCAAAAACGCAACCGCAGCTGTGTTTTGGGCACGTTTTTCATTCATTTCAATGAATGAGCAAGTCCTGCTTGCTGCAAAAATGCAGCAAGCAGGACTTTGAAAGTGCAACAGACCCACAACTGACCAGTGTAAAGAGTTCCATAGGATTTATTGGTCATGCGTTTTCTTTTGCTTTTTTTTTTTAAACACAAAAAAGAAAAACTGATCAGTGTGAAAGCAGCTGAAAACTGATGAAAACTTCAACTGTTTTTTTCTTTGAAAAAAATGTGTGACCGAGCTGATGAAACCAATGGTCTGCACCTGAAATGCACGTATTGAGTAAGTGAGCACTAAAAGTGGCTATAGCTGCTGAACACCAAAAAGGTACCAAACAACCTCAAAAACAACCACATATACAAGTGGGTGCAGCGCTAAAAGGAAAAGCATCCAACATAATGCATATAAAACATATATAATGATAGTAAAGTGCACAATCAAGCTGTTCAATAATCTTTAAGACTATACATGACACAATAGTGCATATAATAAAGTGCAAGGATTATAGTCCACATATAATATCCGTGTCACTACGCCGTGACTAATCAAAAATGCGCGTGAAAATCATCCTCAGTATCTCAGTGGGTTAGGTGCATAAGCGATCTCAAAGATCCAAGTGATATGGTGAAATGTGATTATATATCCAAATTGGTAAAAGACTGCGCACTCACCAGATGCGCAGACAGTATGCGCATGTAAGAGATTACCCCTCCTAAGGTATAACTGGGATTCCCTCTGGTATGTGGTCTGGTCTGTTGCCGCTCTCTGCTCGTTCAGCTGGTCAACATGGCTCTAATTTTCTTATGTGTGACTCTGTGGGTAATGGGAAGCTCACACAGAGCCCCAAAGAAGAGGAGGCCGAATAGCATAATACTGTTTCCAATATTTAAATCTATTGTGTCCAGCAGAAATACAAGACAAAAAACACAGCTACTGACCAGATTGTAGATTGGTGAGCATACCCCCTATGAATACGTGCGATTTGCACGAAACGCGTCAGTGAGGAGCTACAGTGCAGTGGCGTCATACCACAGGCGCCATGTGGGCCTCGGCGGCCATCTTGAATCTACAATCTGGTCAGTAGCTGTGTTTTTTGTCTTATATATAAGGTTAGAGCCATGTTGACCAGCTGAACGAGCAGAGAGCGGTAACAGACCAGATCACACACCAGAGGGAAACCCAGTTATACCTTAAGAGGGGTAATCTCTTACATGTGCATACTGTCTGCGCATCTGGTGAGTGCACAGTCTTTTACCAATTTGGATACATAATCACCTTTCACCATATCACTTGGATCTTTGCGATCGCTTATGCACCTAATCCACTGAGATATTGTGGATGATTTTCAAGCGCATTTTTGATTAGTTACGGCGTAGTGACACGGATATTATAAGTGGACTATAATCCTTGCACTTTATTATATGCACTATTGTTTCATGTATAGTCTTAAAGATTATTGAACAGCTTGATTGTGCACTTTACTATCATTATATATGTTTTTTTATATGCATTATGTTAGATGCTTTTCCTTTTAGCTCTGCACCCACTTGTATAAATGGTCTGCACCTGTAAAAGGGGGCCTAAGCCTCTTAACACACGCTTCATCTGTTCAGTAACATTTTTGCTAAGCAAAAAACAAATTTAATTTACATCAGTCAATCCACCTTCCTGTTTACAGCTGTTTTTTAATCTACTTACATCTGTTTTCCGTCTGCTTCTGGTTTTTTAAAACGGAACAAAAATGCAGACTTGTTCCATTTAAAAAAATAGACCTTATCGGAAGCAGACGCATTGCTGTCCATTTTTCATCCGTCAACAGGTGGATGAAAAATGGACAAACGGAACATCTTTGTGAAAGGAGACTTACGCTTTGGCAATAGAACCTGGAAGAGGATTGGTTTCAATGCAGTTTTAGTAAATGTCATCGTTGCCTTTTCTGGTCTTCTTTAATAACAGTCTAGAAATCTGCTTGGACTACTGGATACCAAATAATGTCTAGCTGGCATATTCTTTTATCTGAGCAGATGTGCACTAGGGGTTTCTAGTTAAGAGACTGGGTAGCAATTCAACACGAGTGATTTATCATGAAACCCTAATTTTATTGCACATAGACTTTTAAAATATCACATACAGTTGATAAAATGCTTAAAGTGACACTTAAGCCCCATTCTCACTATGGCATTTCGAATTGCGGGAAAAATCAACGCGTTTCTGTCCGCGATTTTAAAAAACTTTGCTAAAATAACTAATTGCACAACAGCATGTTCAGGCGTCATTCGTTTTAATTTTTTTATTTTATAATAAATATAAAAATAAATCCCTCTAGTGTTAACTAGTACCATGAAAAAAAACACTGTCTTTGTTATACAGTCCTGCAATATTTCATTATACAAGAGTGTAAGTACCTTTGGTACAAATGTACGATTTGGGCCATATGCCCATATGGGTCCCTGGTTAAATCTGACTATGCATTTTACAAGTACTTATTCATTCTTATGGAATGTGTGCTTTACTGACAGCAAAAGAATGAAGAATTTTTTTTTTTAATACTCCGCACCAAGGTCAAACCAGAGCTCAAGAGGTGTGAATGTAGCCTTAGGGCACATTCACATTTATGTGCTTATACAGTCAGAATTTCTGCACACAAAATAGCAACATGAAAATATGAATTAGCAAGCCAGCAAAAAATATGAAAAACACCATTTTTTTTTTCATGTAAAGGGTATACTGAATCAAAATGTATACTTACTGAAAATACACTATATTTTTCCTTGATGATGCACAAAGAACATAATCAACGTCAGTAGTAAGAGATGACAGACCACCAAAAATACTCTAAATTCGTGATGCCTAAATGGTAGCCTCCAGGTTTCAAGTGCTGATAATGATGTTCGAAGAGAAGAGCCTGGAGAAAGGAAAAAATAAGCAACAACAATTATTATAATAATGATTTGCACTACAAAGTTGAAAACTTCAAAGATTTCTAAGGAAAATGTGTTATGCAGGCACCAGCAGGGAAACGTCTTCCAAGATGCTATCAGTGCTACTATTTTACCTATCTACCCATTTCTTCTTTAGTGCTTGGAGCCTACAGCATATCTCCGTTGTCACATTGTCTACCCGATAACAGGAAAGGGATGCCATCATGGAAAGGTAATAGTTCATAAGATTACCACAAAAGCACTCAATATGCTTTTGGCTTCTAACTGGAAGACAAAGTAATAAAAGTGGTAGTAAAGCCTAAAGCTGGGCACACACATATTGGTCGATTGTTAGACCAGCCTACTGGAAAACCAGCATTCAACCAGCTGCTGCTTCCAATGTATTCTCGCTGAAGCGCTGATCAGTGTATTCTGACTTTGGGGGGAGTTTCCTCACTGAAGTATGCAATAGCATAGCGAAGGAGATACCTGCAAGCAACTCACTTGTGTGGATGCAGGAATCTGTGAGGTTTTTTTTTACCTATTCAGCTTGTTGGTTGAACAAAGGAGGAAAAAAAAAAAAAAAAGATCTGCATACTTAACTTTTCTTAATCTAGTGCAGAGGCATGATCTTGCAGCTCTAGCACCCATGTAAAGGGGTGTCGGAGCTGTAGGATCATGGGCCCGGGCCGAAGTGGAAAAAAAAATGGCAAGTACATACTGTGTAGGCCTAGGTCGGAGAGAATTTTTTTTAAAATAGTGAGATTTAGGCTTTTCCGCCACTCTAAATTAAATCGCAAAAATTTGGAATATATTTCAACATACTGATCCCTACATGCGGTGGCTGCATAACACTTTTTTTCAAGTTTTTTTCCACCCAGAGATTCTGCCAGTAACATACGTCCAGTTCTAGCACGACAGCACTCATTCACAGTACAGTATTGGGACAACAGAGACAAAAACAGGACTATGGAGGTGGTTCCATATTTCTAAGGCTGCCATATATTATACAATTTTCATTTACATTGACCAAAACCATATATGAGGTCAAACCTAAACACTTTCAATTTGTATGAAATCAGGCAGGCCCTTGCCCTACATAGTTGAAGGTAAATCTACAGGAACTTGAACAAGAAACTTGTATAATGTATGCCAGCTTAATACTTTAACCACTTCTTGATCCCGCTATTGCCGCATGACGGCTACAGTACAGTTGTGCAGTTCTGATGTCCTCCCAGAACGTGAACCCCCGTAAGCACCCGGCACTCTATGTGTGCTTTGGACACAGCTGATCACATGACACGGTCAGGGACCAATCACAGCGGCCTTTTACCATGTGATCAGCTGTGTCCAATCACAGCTAATCACCATGTAAATACACTTGCTGGTTATTGGCAGTACTTTCCTCACGCTGTCACAGTGTGAGGAAAGTACTGCCGATAACCGGCAACTGTGAAAGCAGACATCTACACTGATAATCAGTGCCCTGAATATCAGTTCAGCCCCATCAGTGCCCATCTGTGCTGCCCATCAGTGCCCAGCAGTCAGTCAGTGCCAGCAGTGCCGCCTCATTAACGCACATCAGTGAAGGAGAAAAAAATTACCTGTTTGTAAAATTTTATATTATAAAATATATTAATATAATATATTGTATAGCAAAAAAATAAAAAACACCCAGTGGTGATTAAATACCACAAAAAGAAAGCTCTATTTGTGTGAAACATATGATAAAAACTTC